CCTTCGGGTGCGGGCGGGGGTGCCGGAGACAGCGGGCCACAAGTGGGTTTCCACAGACGGAGCAGCATTAATGGCTACAAAGGCGAAAACGCTCTCTGGAGCGCGGGGACCAGCTCCTCAGGCTCACCAGAGGGTGCCATTGCCATGGCAAATTTCCTTGCAGCACTAACTCCTGTCAGGCATCATTAATCTCTTGCTGTCAACAGCTTATGATTTAAACACTCTCCGCCTTTCCCCACCTGCTCCTCCAGCTCCATGCTGAATGCTTTGAAGTCTTTATCCCGAACCCGGCTCGAGGCGGAGGGAAGCGGCAGTGCATGCGGCAGGAGCATGGGGGAAGCGTGTGATCTGCTGGTTACGAGGGGGTGGGGATGGGCTGAGGGACAGACTGACAGCCAGGAGGGGAGCGGAAGGGGATTATTGCAGGGCCCAAGACTCATGGATGGCTCCTCTCTCTGCAGAGCACCAGGGAACTGCCAGCTCTCGGCCACAGATGGACCATACTCTACAAGCAAATATTCCCCTCAAAGCCCTTCAGCGTCCCCTGTCCCCACTTCAACATGGCCTTAGGACTGTCTGGAATAAAGGCTCAGCAGCTCCTGCCCTGGCTCCCTGCTCCTTCTACCTCCATTTCCAGCACTTTCACCCCTTTACTCCTCTGGCTGTCTTTTGTCCCCTGAGATCAAGTTCTTCTCCACTACAGGTACACTTGGTCTGCCCTCCTCCATTTTCCCAGGGCAGGGCAGGTCCCCAGGGATGCTCGAGGCCTGGGCTCTCCAGGCCTGGGCTGTCACGTAGCTGTGTCCGTGGCTCTGTCAGCAGCTGCTGCAGGCAGCCCGTAACACATCCCACTGTAAAACATACCAGACCTCCCTCGCCCCCAGCTCAACAGGCCCATGGCACACTGGAGCCTCTTGGGTGGGGCATGGCAGCTGCTTGCAGCGACAGGGCAAGAAATACTCTCTGGCCTCTGAGGCAGGTGCTGCTCTACTTGCCTTGAAATACTTGTCCAGGACTTCGCTGTAGTTGCTACCCTTGGAAAACCAGCCGTCTGGGATAATCTCAGCTTCCAGCCACTGGATGACGCGGCGACGCAACTCATCTCTGTCTGACTGGTAGCAGACGACTGTCACGGGAGAAGGTGTAGCAGGAGAAAAAGCAAGGATGAGAGAAACGAAGTTGGCAGGGAGACCACAGAGAGACGACTGGAAACAAAAACCAGCCAGCCCTGGTGGCAGTCTGCGGGGCCCTTGGTCCTTGGAGATGCACCAGGGCCAGACCAAAGCAAAGGTGCCATGTGCTGTGGGTGACACCATGCGGCAAGGCCAGAAAACGACACTCCTCCCAAACCCCTTCTGCCTTCCCGTTCTGAAGCTGGTGAAAGAGCAACCCGGGGCTGACTCATCTCGGTGTGAACAGTCCCCAGATCCAGGGAGGAAACCAACTGAGTGTGTCCCCAGGCTTCCCGACGCCACGCAGGACAGGCTGTTAGCCCTCAAGTACCGAAACCTCAATCCTCTGCAAGGGTGAAGACTAAACTGAGCAAGCCTTTCCACCACGCTCTCCCCAGGACTTGAATTTCGGGGCATAGTATCTCAGGAGATTTGGTTTCTTCAGAGCCCTGACTTGCCCACTCTGATTGGAAACAAGAGGAGGTCAAGTTGGGCTTGTTTGCAGTGCTCTCCAGAGTCACAGGTTTCTCTAGGTGGGTATCACCTTGTGTGCTAATACCAAACTATATATTTTGAGGCAAAACTGAAAGCCTCGATCTTCTGGCTTCTGTAAGTTGTCACACCTGCCCAGAGGCCAATGGAGCCAGAAGGGGAATCAGTGTGCATTTGTGTCGCTCACACACACTAAGGATCTCCTTCTGAATCCAGTGACTACAATCACGACCGGACGGACCGTTTCTGCATGTTTAATTCTGAACTTCCTTGAAACTGCTTTGAGGTGGTGGCCATGCCCAGAACACGTTCCTTTCCGTTAAGTTTGTGCAAGGGTTTGCTCTTATGTCCTAGGAAGCTGAAGTTGACATTTATACAGCTGCAACACTTAGAGGCCATAGATGGAAAAGGGTCTCCTGATAAAGCGCAGGCTATGCGCTCCATAGTCTCTGTACACATGGCAATGCGTAAGGGGAGGAAACAGGCACAGGGAATCAAAGAGACTTGTTAGCTGATGGGAGAGGTGGTTCGGCTACACCTCCTGGCTCCCCAGACAATGCCCCATTCATTACGTAGTGCCACCTCTGCGCCCATCAGTTAATCACTCCTGAAGCAATGTCTCCTTTCAAAAGAGTGCTCTGACAGTTGGGGACAACAGCTCCACAGTTACTGCGTCTTAGATCCCCCACGAGCCATGCAAGAGAGTGTCTCTTCCCTCAGCCTAGGTGACGAACACAGCTCATGTCCCTAGGAGCAAAGTGGGTTTCTTTGCACCTTGCACATGCTCCAAGTCCCCGAGACGTCCCAGCACAGCGAAGAACCCAGGAGATGTATGAACTCTGAAAGGTCACCCCAGGAGGAAAGGGCTGAGCAATCGTATTTCAGCTGATTTACCAACTCAGACTGCGACAGCCAGTGCAGAGGTATCACTTCTACACAGAGCTGTTCAACTCCCTCAGCAGAACTTCCTCCCCACCTCTTTTTCCAAACACATACAGAGGCCCCAGCCATGCAAGGAGAGGGCTTCTCACCTGGACTTGCAGCTGGATTCTCAGACTTCTTCTCTGTTAATGGAAAGACAGAAGAGGATATTTCTGACACAACACGAAGCAATACAAATCTCTTCCCACCCTTGGTGCCACTTGGGCAAGAGCAGAGGAAGCTGGGAGCCTTGGAAACACAAGGGCCACATGTACGATTAAGGGACTGGAACATGTGTCACCGGAGGGGAGGCTGAGCATTGTTTAGCCTGAAGAAGAGAAGGCTTAGGTGTGATATCACCAATGTTTATGAATCTGATGGGAGGGAAAGAAGATTGAGCCAGACTCTTCTCCGTAGTGTCCACTGACAGGGCAAGAGGCACATGTTTAAACACAGGAAATTCCATCTGAACATAAGGAAACACTTTTTTACATTTTTTTTTTCTGGTTAAACATTGGAACAGGATGGCCAGAGGTCATGGAGTCTCCATCCTTGGAGGTACTCAAAACCCTGGCCTAGACACATTTCTGGGTAACCCACACCAAGTGACCCTGCTTGAGCAGGGAGGCTGGACTAGATGATCTCAGGAGAGGAGCTCCCTTCCTACCTCAATGATCCTGTGGTTCTGAGTTACTTCCTAGCAACAGGCTACACATGGTTCTGGCATGGGTTTCACTCAAGCAGCAAATGAGGTCAGGCAGTTTGGCCTGTGCTACTCTTCCCTTGTCACTTTTTCACTCTTAGAACAGGTCTTTTCACAGAGGTTCCTCTCATTCAGGAGAGATGGGCACGTGCAAGGCTGGGAGCCAAGGTGTGGGGGTGAACTAAACAGCCCCACCATGGAGGCAAAATCCTTGCTCCTAAAGCTCTTGAGGTCTCTCATGAACTTGGATGGCAGTACAGGCTTTGGGGGTTTATCCTGAGACTCTGAACTTTCCTCAGCAGGTAGACTGAGAGACCTGCCTGGCTGAACCCACGAGCTCAGAGAGAGGCAGGCAGGAGGAAGAAGCTGCCCTGCTCTCCTGAATGCCCCTCTCCCACCAACCCAGGGAGACAACAGCTCCAAGATCCCACCACAGCCAAGGTGTCAGGGCCCCGAGCGCACTAATGAGGGCCTTACTGGCCCTGCCAACCTCACCTAGGGCCTCCACCCACACTCTCTATCCACGAGCCCATTTCAGCTGACGCCTGGGCCCTTAGTCCTTGCCTGGGATTATGCTGTAGGTATGCCTGTCTCCAGCTCTGTTGCAACCATTCCTGTATTTGCCATAGACCCTGTTGATCTAGGCCCTGACCTGGTGACTGTCTTCCCACCTGTATCTCAGATTGCTATAGACTGCATCACTGTGGACTTGTCTGGCAATCACAGGCCTGTGCCTGATCCTGGTTACCATCACTGGACCTGATCCTGATTTGATTTCATGGCTTGATTTCAGGCCTACTTCATCACCACAAACTTGCCTGGTGATCTGGACTCTTGGTTGAACCTGGCCACTGTTCCCAGGCTTGCCCTGTTAGCCTGCCTAGCAACTGTGGAACAAGGTCCTGGTCGGCAAGACCACTGCCTCACCTTGTTATCACGCTTGGCTCCCAGCTCTCCCTCCCTTAGAGGGCAGCCAGCCCTCATCACTCCACGGTACAGGGTTACCTTTACAGTGGCCATCGTAATCCACCTGGATCTTGGAGCCAGTGAGGCACGCATCACGGTGCAGCTCACAGTGGTTCAGGTACGTCTTGCCATTGCTACCGCACACAGGCCTCTTGTGAGGTTTGCATTTCTGTGAGAGAGCCAGAGTAGACAGAATTTTACCTGCTTCTTTGGGACAGCTAGAGGGAAGCAGATGAGCCTCAGCATCAGCCCAGCTCAGCAGAAACTCTTGGAACAGCCCCCTTGGCCCAAAAGGTATTTGGAGCAGGCTGAATCCACCCATCATCATCTCAGAAAAACCTGCACAGAGAAGTCTGTGGGTGTGGGTTCGAAGGCCTCCATCACCACCACCACCACCATGACAGGAGCCTTCCTGAAAGCACAGCCCAGCAGAGAAATCAGTGCCGAGCATAAATACTGAGCATAATCCTGCAACTGCTGCTCTGTGTGCCACGGACGTGCCTGCCCAGAGGTGTTTCTATGAATCTCTTCTGTGCACCTCAGCTGTTACATCTCTTTGTAGAGTCTGCTCCACCTTTCTGCAACCGAATGTAGAATAAACCATCAGCCACAAGCAAACAGCAGAGCCTACAGCAGAGGGAGAGTTCACCAGTGCCACTGTTGAGGCACTGGGCTTCTTTCTCGTGTCCTGCTCAGTCTGCCCAAGCCTACCCAAAGTGACAGAGTCTCTTTGTGAGAGAGGGTGTTTCACTCTCCAGTGCCCAGGCTGGCCGCGTCACAGCTGCAGGCTCTGAGGGAAGTGGGAACAAAGAGCCACATGCCCATTTCCAGGAGCCAGGTAGGAAGGGTTTGAAAGCACGGGGCAGAGCAGAGTAGGGAGGCACTGTCTCTCTATGGCTGGGAAAGGCTCTTCTAATCATCTCTGGCTCCCTGCTGGATGAAGATATTCGTCCTCACAGCACTCTATCACAATTATTTCCATTTCACAAAAGCTAATTTTTAGTAGGGTGCTTGTAACCTCCAGAAATGAGACGCCAGTGAGGGCAGGCTGCCTCGGAGCTTGCAGACTACTCCTTATAGTGTCCTCCAAAGCCAGCTGCATACCAATACCCTACTGGGCTATCCCAACAAAAGACCTCCAGCCAAGTCTCCTGTGCCTGTAAAGACCCTAGTAGCACAGCTGAAAGTCCCAGCCAATATCCACCCTACAGGGCTCTTTCCCCACACAGCACTGGGAAAGGCCCTGCTGTTTGAAGAGCCACTGTGAATTTGCAGCTGCTCCAAAATAGCCGTAGCCTCATCCCATCACGGTCTCCTTCCAGTGACCGAAACCCAGCCGGGGGATGGTGATGGTGACACCTGTCCCCGATGCAGAAGCTGTGCTGCTCCCCTACCTCAATGCAGAGGCAGGTTGGCTCTCCCTTCTCGGTCACTGCACACTCCCGCCCAGCTCCACAGAAAACATTGGCACAGATCTTGGATTTGCTCCTTGGCTCTTCCTGCAAGATACAAAGTAAGAGACATAAAATACATCAAGTTACCCAAAACAGCAGCAACCCAGCTTTAAAAAAATAACACATTTAACTTCTAGACCAGACTGAAGAGCACCAAGGTGGTAAAGCACGTACCACAGAACAAGAGAGACATGACTGCGATAGGTGGGACAGCTCGAACAATAACCAGGAGCAGACACAAGAGCCACGGCTACAGCCTCAGCAAGAGAGGGCTTCCTTGAGGTCATTCCCGGAAAATCACCTAGCAGAACTGAAGCGAATATAAGCAAGAGAAAATCTAGCACGAATGGCCAGAATAATTTTCTCGTGTCAAGGAATGCCATCTTCAAAATTTTTTTCCATGGAGGGGCTTTGCTTGAGACGTTTAAGAAGGTGAGCACAATCCTGGAGAAAGGTGTGATACCAAACAGGCAGAAGAAATCACCATCAGGTACCAGATAATGCACGTCACAAAAAAACTTCACAGAACTACATGACCCAGTATCTTTCCTCCACTGGTCAAGATTAAACACTGCAGAGCAAGAAACACTGTCACAGATAATTACACAGTAACCTCCTCACAGAGAAAAGTTCTTCCTGGTCCCTGGCAGCCAGCGGTTGATTTATGCCCTGCAGCACAATTTACATGCTTTGTAGTTTTCTCCTAGCCCAAGCCATCCCAAGTATTCTTGTTGTTCACGTAACTGTCAAATCCTTTTTTATTGTGTCCCACTGCATTCCCAAACTGGTGACACCTAGCAGGGAAGATTTCCACAGGTTAATCATGTTTTCAATCAAACCACCATTTACTTTTATCAGTTTAATGCTTTTTTTTTTTTTCCTTAGACTTTTAAAAGAGAAGAGGGTTCCAGGGGTTCAGACTTTGGAGACCCTGGTTTAATTCCCTGCTTTGTTATTAATTTCCTCTGTGACTCTCATTTCATCCAATATTTTCCACCTGTTCATTAAGTACCTGGTTCAGGCTTGCCAACTGGCTTCCTCAACAGTTTTGTACCAGAGACAGAAGATTGAGGAATGTAAAATAATCAGTGAGACAGGTCAATCTCATCTGCTGTGATTCTTCTCTCTAATACACACCAAGTTTTTTCTTACCTTTCCATCTTAGTATTATTCTTAACCTCTGCTTATCTGTGGTATCTTTGTACCTCCATCATATACTTTTGAAGGCAAGTGATCAAAAAGGAGCAGAATTTGCCCAAGGAGCAAGCATTATTGATACATTTAATAACAAATGCTGATTGTATTTTTTTCTCCCATTGCTTCTTTATCCTAACTTTCTTTGTTTGTCTTGCTTTTAAACCACAATTTCACAGTGAGCTGTTGTCTTTACTGAACAGCCCACAGTGACAGCTAAACCATTTTCTGAATGACCCTGCAGGATTCCCTCTCCAGGTTCACATGGCGACAAACACCTTTCCTACTTTCTGCAAATGTTCCTACCTCATTGCTTATCCTGTAAACCAAAAATATAGTGTTCAGACACACCAGTCTTAGCTCAGAAACATACACTGTCCCAGACTGCTCACCCTAAGAAGACAGTCTGTTATCTGCCCTCTACCCCTTTGTCCTCCTTTCACATATTGTTTCTGAGCTATGAAAAACTCTGCCCCTTCTGCTGCATCCACGTCTCCTTAGCTATCTTCTCGTGGAGGGCTGGGGTAAATGATTTAGGCGCTTCTGGGGTGGGAAGGAGCAACATGAGTGCTTCACCACACAAAGCAACCTCACACAACTTAGGGCAAGAAAGGAAGAACAACTCATTTTGCAAAAAGCACTAGGAAAACCCAAATTCTCCGAGGCTGGAGTCTGGCTAGGGCATTCCCACACCTACAACGCACTGTAGATATCTAAGGGCTGATGTATTTGAAGGGTTTCAAACAATGTGCCCACCCCTTCGTTTTGACAAAGACCATGAAAAAAACAGCTAGACACAGGTTTGAACCAGGGTCTGTGATCCGGGCAATAGATGGCCGTAGTCTGGCTCTCCTCACCCATGGCCAGCTAGGACTGCCAGCAGCAAGCTCCTGGCCGTGCCAACCGATGCCAAATCTGGCTCTTGCCTCCTGGCCTGAGACTTACGGCACCGCTACAACCGCAGCTGGCCTTGGCAGGTGTCCACAGGGACCGACTCGCATTGCAAGACTCCTCTTCCCTCGCCAGCTCGCTGGAAACCAGGACAACGACGTGGCTGTCCTGGCCACAGCTCCCTCCCCTGTAGTGCCAGAGCCCAGGAGCCATCCCACAGCTCTCCCAACTGGGATCCGGGGCGGGGACGCTGGCAGGGTGACACCACTAGAACATCCTCTGAGGACAACCTGCCTCCTGCCAGGCTAGAGAGCCATGCTAGTCTGATTTTTCTTATTAATCAAAGCAAGATGGTTGGTGGTTGCTTCTTTGTTGTTGTTCGAAGCTGTCCTAGGCTGGCAGTGGGTCGGAGCTGGCTGCCACATCCCGGCACGGCTGTCTCCACCCTCAGGCTTTGCCAGATCAAGAAAGGAATCAAGCTGCTCGGCCTGCCTGCCCTCTTGCACAGGGTTCTCAGACACAGCTTGCTCATCCTCCCTCCCAGCAGCAGCAGCCATGGCAGGAGCTACCGGGCTGGGTGCTCGCTCCACCTTCAGTGAAAGCAGCTCTCGGTTTCCAATCCAGTTCCTTCAGCTCTCTGTGCCCCCACACCCTTGCAATGCTCACCCCACAAACCATACTTTCTCCATCTACAACCTGCCAACCATAGCCCCTTCTACACAAATGCTCCCCTCTCAAAATCCCCCGAGAACCTCACCCCCTTCCTTCACCAGACATCACCTCTCCTACCCTACATCTATCCCACCCTGCACCTACAACCTGACCCAGCGCAGCTGCTTTGCAGGCCGAGGTGGGTTCCTCTGCCAGATGCCAGCAGCTGCTGCTGCCAATCCCGCAGGAGCCACAGACCCCTTCCCTCTGCCAGCCTGCAGGCAGTTGAAGTCAGCAGTCAACACCGCGACCGCTTGGTATGGCCACATAGCTCTAAGGTGGTTCACAGCGTACCACAGGATAGGAGCTCTCTCTGGTGGCTCCCGACCACCTTCCTGGCAAACGCCCCAGTCTCCTGTGTGTAAGTGGGAGCATAACGGAGGTGCTGGTGGATGAATGGACGAGTATGGTGGGCATCTGCAAATGAGGCTTTATAATCTTCACTCCTGATTCTCTGGTGACCTCTCAGGTGCTACCAGCCAAACTAGTTTCTTATGACAGGTATTCTGATCTTACCTTGGACCTCATCATGCTTGCTCTTTATAAAGCTCCATCTGCTGGAGTCATGTAAGTAAGCAGGGATGGCAGCTGCCACTTCAGTATTAAATAGCTCATCCTCACACCTACCACATAAAAGCCAGAAAACATGAACTGCAAAGGTCCAAATGCAAGCTCACACACACAGAAAAAGACTCCACAGTGTTTCAATGTTATTTCCCTTAAATTAATTAATCCAGGATTTAGGGGCTGGAATCATGGTTTTTACACTGCTTCCTGCCTGTGAGCTGCCGTTGCCTTTTCTGTCACGGTGGGCTCAGGAAGCGTCACTCGTCCCTGTGCACAGTGCGCTTGGGCAGGCGGAAAAAAAAGAGAGTCGTTATTAATGGCTGCATGGTGGCATTTTACACTACAAGCCATGACAAGGCAGTTCCCCTCTTCTGCCTCGGGTGAGATGCCCATTCGGGCAACGCTTTTAATTACTCCTCTGCTGCCCAGAGTGAAACGGGGAAGGTGTGAAAGCAGCGAGCACGAAGCCAAGGTAGGAGCGTCCGGACTCCGGAGCATCTGCCACAGCACAGGGACACTCTGGACTCTTCACCCCACAGCCTCCACGGGGGCACAATCTCCAAAGACATCTTTTTGGGCAAAGACCATGGAAAGAGTTGTTTGCCACAGCTCATGGGCCAGAAACTCAGGGCAGACGGGCAGCGCTGGCATCACGTACGCAGAGACCAGACCGTCTGCCGAATGGGGACGGGAACGCACGCAGCTTTTGGGGGGCTGGGAAGCGTAATCCCATGGATGAAGGGTTCTTGCAAGAAAAAGATCTGAACAGACAGTATGGCGAGCCACATGCACTGCTTCTGCCTCAGCTGTCGCTTCCTGGGGAGCAAGGAGGAAAAAGAGACATTTCCAAGGCACTCGCGGGTGAGAAAGCCAGCGGCAGCACTGCTGGTGAGGAATCACCATGGCAACCGGCAATGCAGGGCCTCAAGGTGGAGAGCTAAATTAGGCACCAGGAAGGGCTGTTTCTCATCTCCAGCAGCAATCGGCGTGGAGAAGCTGGACCCTCAACACAGCGTAAACACCGATGTCGGGAGTGCTTCCAAGCCCCTGCCTGCGCCTGGCTGCCGGGGACCCAGCGTGGCTTGACGCGCCAAAACACGGTGCCATGTGCGGGTCTGCACGGGGTCCCAAGGTCCTGCGAGCTACTGCGCCTGCTCCGCGCTGGAGTGACTGCACGGAAACAGCGCGGTGTCTGCAGCAATCCATATGAGTGACCACATGCACGAAGAAAAAAAAACCATGGCTCCTGGGCTTTGCAAGGGGGCTGCTCCCTGCAGCTCTCCTTTGGCCGCTTCCTCCCCTGGTTCACGCTGAGCCACAACAGCCTGGTGTCACTCGTGGCAACGGAGGCTTTCCCCAACCAGCCTGTGAAAGATGAAACCATTAAGAACCAGCTTCCACCCACAGAGAAGAGCTGTGCAAACAGCTGCAGGTCCACGGTGCCCCACTGCCCGAAGGGAGCAGCAGGGACTTCTGCCATCACGCATCGGAAACGAGCCGGGAGACTGCCCCGCTGTGAAGTGGGGAGTTAACGCGCTTGAAAACAACCCCTCAGATCGCTTTTTGGCTTCCTGCACGTCTTTTCACACAAAATCTCCTCTTGGAGATCTCCAGAGTCTTTTCCTCAGCAGCCAATGCTGTGCTGGAGAACTACTATCCGCCATCCTGCGTCCTTTTATGAGTAAAAAGCTTTCCTG